TCACGTGGTAAAAGGATATTTAGTTTTATAAGGAACTGCAACTATATCTTCTGAAGTGCTATATACCATTTGCATTCCCACCAGCAATAAATGAGAGTTCCAATTGTTCCATATCCTTCTGATGTTGTGTTTTGGATTTTTGCCATTCTAATAGGTGTGTAGTGGTACCTCCATTGTTCTTTTAATTTGTAATTTTTTAAGAACATATGATGTTGAGTATCTTTCTATACGTTTATTTGACATCTATATATCTCCTTTGGTGAGGTGCCAGTTCAGGTCTTTGCTCATTTTTTAAATGGCATTATTTACTGTTATGTTTTAAGAGTTCTTTGTCTATTTTGGATAATAGGCCTTTATCAGATATGTATTTTGCTAATATTTTCTCCCAGTCTCTTGCTTGTCTTTTCTGAACATATGTTTCACAGACCATATGTTTTAAATTTTAATGAATCTAGTATATCACTGGATCTGTTTTAGCTAAAAAGTCATTGCCAACCCCAAGGTCATCAAGATTTTCTCTTAAGTTAACTTCTAGGAGTTTTGTAGCTTTGCATTTACATGTAGGCCTCATTTTGAGTTAATTTTTGTAAGGCTGTAAGATCTGTGCCTAGATTCATGTTTTTCCACGTGGATATTCAGTTGTTTCAGAACCATTTGTTGAAAAGACTATCTTTGTTCCATTGGATTGCCTTTGTTCCTTTGTCAAAGATCAGTTGATTATGTTTGTGTGGGTCTATTTCTAAGTTCTGATTCTGTTCCATTTATCTATTTGTCTAGTCTTTCACCAATAGCAAACTGTCTTGATGACTGTAGTTTTATAGTAAACTAGTAGCCCGGTGCACGGATTCATGCACATTGAAAGGAAATTAATTGTGCAATAGTTGTGCCAATAGTTGGTCTTCAGATACATTCTGTCGAAGACACCGGCTTCTTTCAACTTCAGTGGTCCACTGTGCCAATAGTTGGTCTTCAGGCATATTTTGTAGACAATCGCTTTCTTTCAGCTTCAGAATGTCAACAAAAACAACAAAATTCACAATAGACAATGACAGATGGAAACACACGTCATATGTACCAGACAGTCGCATGGTCGGTCACTTAACCTTTTATATATATAGATCTTGAGGTGGGAGAGTCCAACTTTGTTCTCCTTCAATATTGTGTTGGCTATTCTGGGTCTTTTGCCTCTTCATATACACTTTAGAATCAGTTTGTCAATATGTACAAAATACCGTGGTGGAATCTGGGCTAGGATTGCATTGAATCTATAGACCAATTTGGGAAAAACTGACATCATGATGATATTGAGTAACTACTATACACAAACGTGGACTATTTCTCCACTTATTTAGTTCTTTGATTTCTTTCATCAGAGTTTTATAGTTTTCCTCATTAAATCTTGTAAATGTTTTGTTAGACTTATATTGAAGAACTTAATTTTCTTTGGTGCTACTATAAATGCTACTGTGCTTTTAATTTCAAATTCCACCTGTTCATTGCTGACATATGGGAAAATGACCGATTTTGCACATTAATCTTGTATCATACAACCTTGCAATAACAACTTATTAGTTCCACTTGCTGTTTGTTCTGATTTTCTACATAAACAATCATGACACCTGTGAACAAAGACAGTTTTATTTCTTTTTTCCTAATCTATACACCTTTTATTTCCTTTTCTTAGTACAGTAACTATAATTTTTAGTATGATGCTGAAAAGGAGTGGTGAAAGGACACATCTTTACCTTGTACCTCATCTTAGTGAGATACTCAAGTTTCTCAACATTAAGTCTGATGTTAGATGCAGCATTTTTGTAGATATTCTTTATTAAGTAGAGGAAAACCCCTCTATTTCTAGTTTACTGAGGGTTATTTATCATTAATGGTTTCTGGATTTTCTTAAATGCTTTTCTGCATCTATTGATATGTGTGATTTTTCTTTTTGAGGGGGACCTGTTGATATGATGGATTACACTAATTGTGGTTTTGGTTTTTTTTAATGTTTAACAAACCTTTCATACCTGAAATAAATTCTACTTGGTCGTGGTATGCAATTCTTTCTATACATGGTTAGATTCAATTTGCTAATATTTTACTGAAGATTTTTCTATGTTCATGAAAAATATTGGCCTCTAGTTTTCTTTTCTTATAATGGCTTTGAATGGTTTTAGTATTAGGATAATGCTGTTCTCATAGAATGAGTATCTGTTTCTATTTCTAAAAGATTGTAGAGAAATTACGTAAGTTCTTCCTTAAGTAGAATTCACCAGTGAAAAAATCTGAGCCAGAGGCTCTGTAAGGTTATTGATCATTGATTCAATTTCTTTAATATCTCTTGCCAGTTTGGCTCAGTGGATAGAGCGTCAGCCTGCAGACTGATTCTGGTCAAGGGCGGACCAAAGGGTCCAGGTTCCATTCCAGTCAAGGGCATGTACCTAGGTTGCAGGCTCCTCCTTGGCCCGGGCCCAGGTTGGGCCTTGTGTAGTTGGCAACCAATCTACGTTTCTCTCATATCAATATTTCTGTCATTCCCTCTCTTCCAATCTCTCTAAAAATCAATGGAAAAATATCCTCTGTTGAGGATTAAAATATTTTTTAATAGTTACACACCTATTCAAATTGTCTGTTTCTTCTTGTGTGAGTTTTGGCAGATTGTCTTTCAAGTAACTGGTCCATTTTACTTAGGTTATCAACTCTGTGAGCATAGGGTTGTTTATAGTATGCCTTCATTATCCTTTAATGTCCGTTGAGATCTACAGTGATATCTTTTTTTCATTTTTGATATTAGTAATTTGTGTCCTTTTTTTCTTGGTCTGGTTAGAGGCTTGCCAATTTTATTGATCTTTTCAAAGAACCAGCTTTAGTTTTCATTGATCTTCTCTGTTGATATTGTTTGTTTTTCAATTTCATTGATTTTTGCTTACTTCAGTTTTCATTGCTTTTCTTTTTCTAGTTTCATAAGGTAAAAGCTTAGATTATTGAGTTTAGTTCTTTTTAATATGTACGTCTACTGGTATAAATTTCCTGTAATCACTACTTTCACTGTATCCCAAAAATCTTGATAAGTTATATATTATATTCACCTTTATTTAGTTAACAATATTTTTAAATTTCTCTTGAGATTTCTTCTTTTAACCCATATGTTACTTAGAAGTGCTTAATCTCCAAAGTATTTCGGGATTTTGCATCCAACCTCTCTTTTAACGAAAGGAACTTCAAAGAGTAATAGCATCCAGTTATGGTGAAGATATAGATAAAAGATTCTGTCATACATCATGTTTCTATAAACTGGTACAATATTTTTGGAATGTATTTTGGTATTCTCTACCAAAGTTAACATTTTATGTGTATAGTCTGGCTGGGTGGCTCAGTGGTTGAGCATCAATCTAGGAACTAGGTCACGGTCCAATTCCCCATCAGGGCTTACGCTCAGGTTGTGGGCTCCTCCCCAATGGGCACAAGGCAGCTGATTATTGATTTTCTCTCATCATTGATGTTTCTATCTCTCTCCCTCTCCCTTCCTCTCTGAAATCAATAAAGATATATTTTTAAAAATTTTAAATGTATATGCATATTAGCATAACCAATGGACACGAACACTGGGGAGGTGGGATCTTGTCCTGGGGGGAGGGGTCAATCGGGGGAAAAGGAGACATATGTAATATTTTAAACAATAATAAATAAATAAATAAATAAGTAAATAGGAGAGAGAAGAGGGAAACCGATAAGACTCACTAATCATGTAATGTTAAGTGAACCTAGAAATGACAGCCTTACTGTACAGAAAAAGGTAATACAGTAATCCTCTCTTGTGCTTGGGAATGCGCTCCAAGTCCCCGCCGGGGGTGCCCGAAGCCACAGAAGGCACCGAACCCTGCAAGCACCATGTTTCCTTTCACATGCCTGCCCGTGATAAAGTTTACTTTATAAATTAGGCACAGTAAGAGATTGACAACTAATAATAAAACAGAGCAGTTCTAACAATATACTGTCATACCACTTTTTTCTTACCTTATTAAGTCGAAAGCTTTCACCTTTTCACTTGAAGCACATTACGGTTCCCCTTCGGCATATCCACAGCATCGCTACTCTTGTACTTGGGGGCCATTAAAAAGGAAAATAAAGGGGGCGCGAATACCATCACCATAAAACTGCGACCGTCCCTGCGATCACCAAGATGGCCGCTGAGTGAGTGACCAGGAGCAGAGCGCAGCTCCTCGCCCAACACAGGGAGTATGCACCTTCCTCGCGAGAGGAGGCGGGTCTCGTGAGAGGAAGCGGGTCTCGCGAGATTTCGTCCCGCTACTCCGAACAGCGTGCAATTGTAAAACTTCGGAATTATTTCTGGATTTTTCCATTTCATATTTTCAGACCATGGTTGACCACAGGGTACTGAAACCATGGAGAGCAAAACTGTGGATAAGAGGGGATGACTATCTGTGAGAGGTGGCTAATTTGGGAAGAAGAGGTCTAAGATACTTGATTTCTAAAAACCTGACATCCACCTGAATTTAAAGGTACAGAATTCGCTTCCAAGTACTCACTGAGACATTCATTCGAATAAACATTTTATCTTTCTCCAACCTTTTAGCAATGTGTTGAAAGAATATCATTAACAAGTAACTGGAAGATACCTATCATTTTTATCTTGTTGGTTACTACATCTATAAGCATAAAGACCACCTTGACTTTGTAAACTCCTGGGAGAGTTTTCCATAAGCCATCATAAAGGCCTGATAAAATCAGGGTACAGTTGCATCCTCCTAAGATGTTATCCCTCCTATGATGCAACATAAACCACCATCTCTCGGACACGGCAAAGACTTATTCCTCAGGTTGAAAAAAAGCAGTTCTGAGCTGGGGAAGCATATGGTGGTGGCTTCCCCTCAGCATTCAGGAGCCCTGAGGCTGGGAAATGAAGGAGGTCACAAGCAGAAAGGCACCGTGCAATGCAAACCGCAGACTTGGACAAGAGAAATAGCACTGACCAGAACAGCAAACACTGATAGAAAATGATTTATTAAGGTCCAATTAGTACGTTCTCATTTCAAATAGTCCATAGCTCCTTCAGAATACATGCGCATGAGTGAAAGTCCAAGTTCATTTATTTCACTTCCAATATAAAACGCTCTGTGTATTGTATAAAGTATGTGCAAGCACCTTTCTGCTAACTGGTTCCCCGTTATTCTTTTCACTTTGGGCACTTTACACGTCAGCCCTCTGCTCAAATGGTGACCATGCACTGACTTCCTTCTCCTAGACAACCGTCTTCTGGACATCTTTCTCTTAAACATACCCCCGACTTCCCCACACCTGCTTCATGACTGTGACTTTATTGGTTACTTATTACAACAAACAGGTGAGATTAAACAGGTATCACCTGACATGGCAGCAGTTCCTCTGGGGTGATTCTCAGAGAACACACAGTATCCAGTCACATGCGGACACTCAACCAATTTCCTACAGAAGGGTCCCAAGATAGTTAATAGGAAGATCCTTCATTCACTTGGCACGTTTGACTTCTTCGCGTTGTCTTGAATGCTACATTACAGTTGTGGCTACCGAGAGCTAAATAATTGGTGCCTCAAATAAAATTTGGAATTGCTAGACATATGAATTAGGGTATCCTGGTTATTTGTGACAGTTGACTGTTTCTAGTCCATCCTACTATATTAAAAAAGTCACCCTAAACTAACCACTGAACTTCCTTTGTAAAAAGGTAATTTAACTGGCTTTCCTCACAATTGTCACCCATGAGGTGCAAAGCAGGAAATCCCTTTTTATAAAAGGTATGAGCATAAAAAGACAATTCACATTTTTTTTAAAAAAAATCCTTCATGGGAACATATCCTAAGTAAATAATCAATTATATGAAAAAAGTCTCATGTACACAAACTTTTTGCAACATCATTTATAATAATGAAAATCAGAAATAACCTAAGTAGTCAACAATATGGAAATGGTTAAATAAACTGAGTTGCATCCATTAAATGGAATATTATATAGCCATAAAAATTATGTTTTTGTAAAATTTTTAGTGCCGTAGGAAATGTGGCAATTCTGTAGTGGAAAAAAAATGACTATAAAATTGTTTACAGTATGATCCCAATTATATAAAAGTTATATAATATACATATAGGCATACACAGGGGGGAAAGCTGTTAAGGGCGGTTACTTCTGGATTGTGATATTTATTATCAGTAATTATTTTTTCTGTTTTATACATTTTCTGCATTTTTCAAGTTTCCTATAATGACTATGTATTATTTCATAATACAGAAAAACACAGGCTATTCAAAAATCCTTCTGATGTACTAATAATTAGAATGTACTTGGGTATTATAAATATGTGGGAACAATATTACTGAGTTTCATCTTCTAGGACATTTTTAGAGTACATATTATTTCAGTAACAAACTTACAACCCATTTTTTTAATATGTGTTACAACACTTTAATAAAAAGGTAATGTGATTAGAGCATTGTCTGTTTCATAACCTAAACAAATACTGGCTTTGACATCTAGGTTCTCCTATTTCCTAGAAGATTTAGAATTAATACCCTTTTATCTTTTTAAGTAAGACATACTGCATACATATATTACATGCATGCTTTCTAACAAAAATAAGTCTAATTTACAGTTTTCCTACATGTGGAAAAAAAATGAAGTTACGGTAGTTTAAAAAGTCTATAGTCTTATCCATCACAAGCATACTGATAGGCATAAACATGTTTATTAAATGAAATGTATCCTTTAAAAATAAAAAAGGGAAGCCTGCGTGTAAATGAAGTTGTGGATTCCATTAGTCAGCATTTATTCTGACTTGCACCAAACCACACAAAATCTTTTGAAGTCTAGTTAGTGTCGTCTCTCTAAAGAAACACTCCAGAGTCTATTTACGAATTCCATTATAAGAGCTCCACTGTCTACTTTCAAAGGGAATGGGGATCCAGATGAGGGTTGTCACATAAGCTAATTTTCAACATATATCAAGTCTTGTTGGGTCTAGGAACAAATACTGCCGTTGGTTAGTGTTTAAGTACATGAGTTTGTTTTCCCCTCTCTCTCTCTCTCTCACACACACACACCCTACACCTTGCCCTGGCATTTGGGTAGGGGGAGGCTCTTCATCCCTCAATAGATGATGCTGGCTTCTCCTCTTCATTTCCTTTCTAAACCACAGAGTGGTCATTGCTGTGAACTCCAGCCAAGATGGTGTGGTTGAGGGAGGAAGCTGAGCGGTCAGAGCCTTCCGTGGGGCCGCTGGTGTTCTCACTGCGCTGGCAGCAGAGGATCTGTCTGAAGGTGGCACTCATCTCCTTGTCACGGTAAGAGTAGATGATGGGGTTCATGGCAGAGTTGAACTCAGCAAGCAGGAGGAAGAATTTCTCATAGGCCAGAACGTCACACTGTGGACAGCACACATCGAGAAGTAACAAGACCAGTCCAGGGGTCCAGCAGATGATAAAGGCACCTACAAGGACAGGGAGAGGGGTGGGGAGGATTTAAAAAAGAGAGGACAAATATAATTATGAAGCCAACAACCATAAGGTGAAATAATTCCCGTTCAATATAAAAATACTGATATTCAAAACCCCCAGATCACCATTTGAAATAAAATGTTCATATTGTGAAATAATCAGAAAAGAATTTAATGATGATAAAATAATCAATTTAATAAAACCTCATTAATTCAGACCTTACTAAGATGGAGTATTTATGAGACATGGATGATGATTACTTTGAACAAAACATAGAGTTGCTAAACAACTGAGACATGAAAAACTTCATTCGGGATACACACTTTGATGCTCATAGAGGTATGGATTTTAATAGCATAAGATTGTTTTCAGGCAAAAGATAAACACTATGACAAATGTTCTTTCATATTTAGTTACAGCACAGTTTCTGAATTCAGGTTGATTGGGCTCAAATCCTTGTTTTGTTGTTTTGTAAACTGGGTAAACTTAGGCAAATTACTTTTCATACCTCAGTTTTCTCATCTGAAAAAAATGGTTATATTTTCCTCATTAAGTTTGTCATTTGTTGTAAAGAGTAAATGGGTGCTAAGAAATCAATCACTCAGTATATTTTAGCAGTAACAACAATAACAATACCATTGTTAGGATCTGCTCAGTAGCCTGAGCCTCTTTGGCTATAGCCCCTTCCAACAACCAGAAGATGTTTATCTGCTTTTTTTTTGTGGTTAATCCTCACCATTGATATTTTCCATTGATTTTTAGGGAGAGGGGAAGAGAGAGGGAAAGACAGAGAGAAATATGGATGTGAGAGAAACACATTGATTGGTTGCCTCCTGCACAAGCCCCGACTAGAATCCAGGTCAGGGAGGAGCCTCCAACTGAGGTATGTGCCCTTGACGGGAATCAAACCCGGGACCCTTTGGTCCACAGGCTGACGCTCTACCCACTGAGCCAAACAGGCTAGGGCTGTTTGATTTTATTTTTATTCAACAGCCACTTAAATGGTGCTTTTCTATATGCTTTATAAATATTACCTTACTTAATCTGCACAATAACCCTATGAGATAGCAGTTATTCTCCCATCATGCAGATGAAAAAACTGAGACCCAAAAAGTTAAGTAACTTGCTCAAGACCATGGTATTAGAAAGTGGCAGACAGGAAATAGATACCAGAGTTTCTGCTTTTAGAGGCTGGATCCAGAGTCCACACTCCAGAAAATATGGTTGCACTCCCACTTCTTGAAATTAATCAAATTAAATATTTTAAACCAAATGTTAGGCTTTAGACGTCTTACAAATTTAGATCAATGATGTCTTCTTTCTTCCCAACTATTCTAAGTCATTAAGATTTTACAATAAAAGGAAGAATGGAAATATAGATTATATTATTAATTCCAGGTTTTTTAGTTCCTGAAATCACTCATTTGGCTCTCAGGAAAAATAAAGGTGGTGAAACAGTATTAAAATCTACCACTGTGTTACCCCAGGATGATCTAGGATCCTCAGCTAGGAGAACATGAGCCAATAGAACCAGTAGGTACTGTCGTGTCCCATTACATCTTACCCCATATGCATCAGGCCATACAATGTGTAGACAGCAAATAGAGATGATCCCAGATGAGCTTTTGAATCTTTCGATTTAAATGGTACTGGCTCAGTGGTCAGCAAACTCATTAGTCAATAGAGCCAAACATCAACAGTACAACGGTTGAAATTTCTTTTGAGAGCCAAATTTTTTAAACTTAAACTATATGGGTAGGTCCATTGTTATTAACTTAATTAGGGTACTCCTAAGGCTTAGGAAGAGCCACACTCAAGGGGCCAAAGAGCCGCAGTTTGCCGACCACGGGCCTAGGTGGATGCAGACTTGGACCAGGGTGGGGGATTTGGACTAGCCTCAAGGAATGGGCTTCACAAAATATAAACAAACAAGATTTAGTCTCCAAACAGCCGAGTTTTTTTGGATGTGAGCTTTCCTTTTTGAATCTTTTCAACAGAGAAATGAAAATAAAGGAGAAGAGTACCCCCAGAAAGCTCTTTGTTTTAAAACCCAAATGTGTATTGATTTTAAACTGCCATTCACTTTGAAGACTGTCCAAGGTATTTCACTTTCTCATAAATACAATACCTTAGGCTTTCCTTAGAGAGAGAAAAAAATATTTCAAACATCAGGAGATAATAGGCAAGAAGCTATTTGAACTTCAAGTAAAAATGTTAATAAAGCATTTAGTCCAAGTCCTTGAATTTCCTTGCTTGAAAATCACTTAGAAAGCTAAACATAAAGGAAAATGAAAGGAATGCCTCTGGACTTTCAGAAATAATGCATTATTCATTGAGAAACCAGGAAGGGCATTATTCTCGGGGTGGAAAATGCCTGGATGGAAAAGCATGGTGCCATTATTCCATTTACTTGGAAACTGAAAACATGCAAACTCTTCATGAATGGAACAGCATTCTTTCAAGATTTCTTTCCCCTTTCCTTCATCAAAGCTCTGATTGAACTCAAATTCAGAGCTCGATGAGATACCAGCAACATGGATCTCAATAGATTTATTTTGAATAAAATGATCTTTTGCTCCTTCCAGGCAGTAGAAGGGGACTCCTTATTCTCGTGGACTTGCTCAAACTGTGTGACTTTGTTCAAAAGTGAGAGAAGTCAAATACAGTCATTTGTTGTTTATAATGTCTTCTAATTCTTACATTCAAGAAGAGCAAGATTTTTTTAATAAAGCTATGGTTCCATAAACTAGTCTGATGGACCTAACTTTTAGCCCCCCACCTCACCCCCCCACCCAAAAAAGAAAATGCAAGGAACCTTGCTAGATTGGAGATAGGAAGTGGGAAACACTATGGCCTGACCCAGAAGCTACTATATGTGGACGCTTCATTGAGGAACTCAAAGTCCTCTTCCCTTCGTCTCACTGAAAAGAAATGTTTTTAATACTATGATTAGGCCCAACCACACAGTCCCAACACTGCATTTGGATTTTCAAGACTTGATTGAGTAATTTAAGGGACTCAAAGTCCAGGCCTCAAAAATCAACATGTAAAACAAATCATACAAGTTTTCCCTTCTGTTTCAGAGACGTGCCATGGACAAAACTGACCAAAAGATGATGATGGACTACATAAGTGGAAAATGGGGCCTGGAAAATTATAAGGTAATTAGGCTTCTAAACAATAGTGAGCGGAAATTAAGAATTAAGTTTGTTCCAATTACAGATGTACCAACAAGCTTCTACAAACAAAAGCTACACCCAAGTCCCTTTAATAATAAGTAGCTAATCATAATTCAGTCTGGTCATAGTACATTGTGGACCCTATCGGGATATAATCTGCAGAGACTCAAGTATATACCTACAAGTCAGGTTGAAAAAAGTAAAAGTAATCACCATTTCCACATCTGTAAAGAGGAAAAGTACTAGGCCCCTGTCTACTCCACAGGGTATGATGAGGATCAAACTGAGATAAAACACATAAAAGCTCTTTATACCCTGCACGTCTATCTGACTACATGACCTACATGGTGGGTGGTATCATGTGTAAAGTCTGTTATAGCGCAGTACCAGGGCAGAGTTCCTCCAGGGCAGAACATGGAAGCATGTTCTGGACCATGAAGACCTGGCATTTAAAAAAGCTCTGATGTAACACCATCCTAATTATGAGATTAGAGGCCCGGTACACGAAATTCATGCACTCGGGGGGTGGGGGGGCCCCTCAGCTCGGCCTGCGCCCTCTCACAGTCCAGAAGCCCTCAGGGGATGTCCGACTGCTGGATTTGAGTGGGCCTAAGCCGGCGGTTGGACATCCTTAGCACTGCAGGGGAGGCGGAAGGGGCTCCCACCACCGCCACTGCGCTCGTGCCGTGAGCCTGTCTCAGGGCTTCTGGCTGAGTGGCGCACCCCCTGTGGGAGCGCACTGACCACCAAGGGGCAGCTCCTGTATTAAGTGTACCCCTTGGTGGTCAGTGCACATCATAGCAACGGGTAGTTCAGCCGTTTGGTCGATTTGTATGTTAGCCTTTTATTATATAGTATTGCTAGGACTTGCAATTGGATGTGAGGAGGATAACAAGAAGGAGAAGAGAGGAAACACAGAGAAGCACAGAAGCCCCAAGTCATTTTGGAGGTTCTCATGAGTCAACTCATACCTACCAACATGGAAAATAAAATAATTGGGTACTCCAAAGAAATAGTGCTTTATTTCCAGAACATTTCTGATGAATGGGTCCCCCACAGACCAAGTAATGGCATAAAACCAAGAAATGGTATGTAACAGCATGAAAGTACGAGGAAGTACATGTAGTTTATGGTTACTTATTGTAAAATCAGAAGCAGAAGTGGCAACAGATAAGATCTCCAAGGCAGGGGTCCTCAAACTATGGCCCGCGGGCCACATGCGGCCCACCGAAAACATTTATCCGGCCTCCAGGTGTTTTTGCCGCTGCTGCCTGTTGCTTAGCAGCCGACTAGTTTGTTTTTTTTAAAACTATAGTCCGGCCCTCCAACGGTCTGAGGGACAGTGAACTGGCCTCCTGTTTAAAAAGTTTGAGGACCCCTGCTCCAAGGTCATGAAGACCTTGTATATGGCTAAGACATTTGAAATTTCTCTAGTCCATCATTGATTCTCACCCCTAGCCACACACTATAATAGCCTGTTGAGCTTATAAGAAATAATGATCTTCATCTACCCATCCTCCTATGAGACTTAAATTTCATTGGCCTCATTGGTCAGAGTCTCATTTAATATACAACACTGGATGAATAAAACGATCTGGATAAAAATAAAGGCAAAAACATCAGATGTTTCCAAATTCCAGAGGAGCTTAAACTAGGGCAGTGACAATGAGGAAAGAGAGGAATGGAAGGGTTAGAAAAGTATTTCGGAGATGGGCTGCATGAAATGGATAAGAAAGATTTGAGAGTCTAGGATGCCTCCTAGATTATCCATTTGGGTAAGGGAATAATGGTGCCACTTTTCCCTGAAGGAGGAA